TTCGTCTGAAAATTTTTTAGAAGCTATCAAAATAAACCATTAAAAATTTTTCACTTATTTTTCACTTATACTCTGTCTTTAGTCAGCGGGGGCGAGGTTATTATAAAAGGGTTTAAAATTTAAAAAGTTTAAAAAAAAATTTTTTTTTTTTTAAAATGGTTATTTTTGTTAAACATTGAAAATAAATTGTTCATTGCACCTTTCAAAAATCAATGTCTTTTATTTCTTTTTATTTACTTACTTTAATTTTTCATAAAAGGGTAATGAAATTTTTTAAACTTTTATACTGTTTGGGGGCCTAAAAATTGGGTTTATACTGGAAAAAGTGGGGACTTTTAAAATATTTTAGCCCCATTTTTTAAACTATTGGGGGAGCTTTTTTATTTTTTTTTTAAAATTTTTTAATACTTTTAAATATCACTATCGCATTTTTCTATTATTTTATTTTTTCCCATCTAGCATTTTTTTCAAACTTACAGGGCAATATAATGGGTCTTTTTGTAATTTCTAATTTTAAAATGTAACGTATATCTATACAAACTAAAATCATAGTTGAAGAATGCTTTCGAAATACTATACTAATCCGTTTATATGAAATAAATATAATACACATATTATTGATACTCTCTTTGTAATTTGAATAACTCGCCTTTTTTATAAAATAATAGTCTTTCCTGCTTTTTGTAAAATTAGAAAGGGAAATTATTTATATGGAGAATAGACTTTTCTTTTGATACCTTACAATTTCTTTTTTGTAAACCTTTTACTTATTTTCAAAAGTTTGTTTAAGATTGAGGGCTATTATGTTGTCAATGCTTCTTTCTATATTCTATCTCTTACATTATATTCTTCGGCAATATTTTCTAATCATTATAAAAATTCAATCAATAGACTTTTCATGATCCAAAAAATCAAATGAGGAATGCTGGGTAAATATAACAGTCGGCTAAGTTAGATTGAATGGCTATATTGATTAACTTTGTTCTTGTTAACCCAAATTTTGAATTTCTTTCCAAAAAATTTTGCCAAATAACAATATTCATGTTGGGTGGTTAGTAAAAAGCCCCAATTTTAAATAAAATCAAACAGGTCAATGAGACCTTTATTACTTGGGAAAAAACATCAATTTGTAATTAACAGAATATACCCTCAATTGGGGAAAAAAATATTTATTGGTGTTTTTGAAATTTCTGTTTCGTATGTTTTTAGTGTATGTTAGAAATTTCAAATTTAAATTTAATTTTTCAGCCCTCCCAAGGCTTACATTTGGGACAAACAAAATTAAAAATTTAATTTTCAAAGGGGGCTTTTGATTTCATCAATTTTGGGAATTTTTTAGTTTTTGAATGTTATTTATTTTTTTTACAGGGTTTTATCCGGAAGGCTTTCAAACCCTTTGTTTTTTTAACGTTTTTTTGTAGATTTTTTTTGTTTAATTTACTAAGGCAAATTTTGCTACGAAGAGTAAAGGTTAGTTAATGGCACCATGTTTTGAAATTCTAACAATCGGCTTTCTCTCAAAGAATGTGAAGTTATATTTTGTTCTTGTAAATGAAACAGGGCGGAATAAATTAGCATTGCTCCCGGGAAGCAAACACTCTCAAGGTTTTCAATAGTTCTTGAATATAATTTTTCAAGACAGAATTTAGAATGGCCAATTAACCTTTTAACACAGGGAAAAACGTTAACGTACTCTTAAAGATTTTTCCATTGAAAATGTTTTATTGGATTCAGTATGTTATGTTTGAACATTATTTTTTTGTTTCATTTGTTACATGTAAGATGCACGTTATTAAACTGTGAAAACCACATATTTTATAATCAATGTTATTTAATATTTTAATATTCTTGTTGTCTTTAGTGCTTTTTCTATTGTTACATCATTTTTTTTCCCCCTTTTTTCTTCTTTCTTTTTTTTTATTTTTTTACAATTTTTTTTATTTTTTTTATAGATTTGTTCTGGGCTTTTTTGTCCTTGGGTTGATTTTTTTTCTTTTACCCTTAAATCCTGGACGACAATTTAAAATTTTCATTTTTGAAAATTTTTAAAAAAATTATAATTGCCTATATCAAGAAATTTAAAATTTTTTCATTTTAAATTTTTTTTGAAAGTTTTTAAAGTTGAAAGGTAATTTTGGGATTAGCATTAATAAAAATTATTTTTTTGTAAAGTGGTTTTTTTATCCCCCCCCGAAAAACGGCGGGGAAAATAGAAAAAGTCTCCGCCCTCCCTCCGTCCGAAACCCTTTCCCTCCTTCCTTTCCTCCCTTCCCTCCCACATTTTTGTCCGGGGCATATCTCTAAAAGTATTTCAGTTATCAAACTTGAAATTCTAGGGATAGAAACCCCATTGAGGAGGAGTGCAGTGCAAAGAATTTTGATAACTCTACCTTGCATGATTTTTTTTTTTAGTTATTGCCCTTTTTTGTTATTATTCATAATTGATTTTTTCCAGAGCATAAAACTCCAAAAGCCTATGAGAGATATCAACATGAAACTTCATAGGTGCATAAATCCATTACTCAGGAAAGGTGTGCAGTGCACAAGAATGATAACTCTACCTTTCATAATTTTTTGAGTTATTGCCCTTTGTTAATTTTTCATACTTAATTTTCACCTGAGTGGAGCATAACTCAAAAAGGTGTTTGAGATATCAACATGAAATGTCATAGGTGGATAGATCTTTATTGAAAGGAGGAATGTTGTGCGCAAGAATGATAACTCTTCCCTATACAATTTTTAGTTATTTTGCCCTTTGTTCTTTTTCATGCCGTATTTTGTCCAGAGCTTATATCTCAAAAAGATTTTAGGGTTATTCAACTTGAAAACTTCAAAGGTGGATGGATCTCCATTGAAAAGGAGTTGCATAGCTTAAAGAATGATTTAACTTACCCTGCATTATTTTTTTATTATTGCCCTTTGTTATTTTTCAAAATTAATTTTTTCCATGCATAACTCAAAAGCCTTTGAATATCAAAATGAAACTTCATAGCTGCATACGATCTCACTCAGGAGGTGTGCACTGCACAAAGGAAATTGAATAACTCTACCTTTTTATTAAATTTTTGAGTTATTGCCCTTTGTTATTTTTGCATACATAAAATTTTCACCCGAGTGGAGCATAAACTCAAAAGTGTTTGAGATGTCAACATTGAAATGGTCATAGGTGGATAGATTTTATTGAGGAGAATGATTTGTACAAAAGAAATTGATAACTCTTTCCTGTACAATTTTTTAGTTATTGCCCTTTGTTCTTTTTCATTACTATTTTGTCCGTAGCTTATCTCAAAAAGTATTTGAGGTATCAACTTGGAAACTTTCATAGGTGGATGGATCTCATTAAGGAAGAGTGGTTGCAGTGCACGAAGAGCGATAACTCTACCCTGCATAATTAAATTAAGTTATTGCCCTTTTTTTTATTTTTTCAAAAAAATTAATTTTTTGTCCAGAGCAATAACTCAAAAGGCCTTTGAGAATATCATTATTTAAACTTCAACTAGGTGCATAGATCTAACTCAGGAGGGTGTGCACTGCCATAAAAATGATAACTCTAACCTTTTATAAATTTTTGAGGTTATTGCCCCGTTTGTTAAATTTTTTAAACATAATTTTTCAATTCCCAATTTTTTCTCAAAAAGTAAATTTAAGGTTTTCAACTTAAACTTTTATAGGGGTAGATTTTACTGAAAGGGGGGATGCGCCCCACCAAAAAAAAGATAACCTACCCGCATTATTTTTCAGTTTTTGCCCTTTTTTTTTTTCAGCCCTCAGTATTTACCCTAGGGTTTTAAATTTTGTAATCACTATAGGGCCCTCACTTTTTATTTTCCAAAGACCTTTTTAAAATGGAAATTTTTCTGCTCTACCCACATAACATTCTTTCCCAAAGAGCAAACAAAATTCCGGGGTATGGCCCTTTTTGACATGGCTTTTGTTTTAAAATTGTTTTTATTTAAAGGGAGTGTATTTTTTTTTTACTTTTGTTTAAAAAGTTTTGATTTTGTCCGGGAAAGTTTCCGGTTTTTTATTTTTTTAACATATTTTATTTTTACCCTAATTTAAAATCATGGATTTTTTCTTTTTCCAAATGTATTTGAGTTTAAAAATATTTTACAGATTAGTTAGGTTTGTTTCAGGCCGTAGACGGCATATTTGACGACAATAATTTGTTAGTTTATTTTTATTTTATCTTTGCATCTGGTATCATGGTTAAAAAGTTTTAAACTATTTTTCCTGTTTAGAGATTTTAATTTTCTAGGTACATATGTTAAATGGAACAGTCTCAATGATAGTTTTTATTTGACAAATATTCTGATAAATGAGTTACCTGACAAAATGTCATCAGTAACATTTAAGATAATTTTGTCTTGGTTTGGAATGATTTAGTTGTTCCCAGTAAAATGTCATATCTATATATATAGGCAATCTTAGACCAATATTTTTAAAAAGTTCTTTCGTTCATAATTTTGAGACATTTCGAACTAAGTTAACAAACGCTTTGTAATTTTAGGAGAGCTCTGCTTGCTCAACATGAAACAAGACGCGGAGAGTTTATGGCCAACTTCGGTAGTTTTCAAACGTCCTTGACGCTCGGCCGGAAAGCCTTACAGAAAATACAACACTATGAATTTAAGATTAAAGAAAGAAAAGATGCATGGCATGGTAAAGATGCTATTCATTTAAACCTTTTTATATATGTATGTATATGAATAATTTTTTATTGAATTAGTAAAATGTACGTGTTAACGTGGAAATGGTTGTTTAGAATATTACATACTTGAACATTCTAATGATTTTTGATTTTCTAGAGAAGATTTTTTTGGGAAAATAATGGCCATTTTACATGATTTACAAAATCACATCAGCAACAATCTTTTCTAAAATCATCAGAAACTTCATTGAAAATTTTCTTAAATGTCTCATTTGTTTTCCAATGTTTATACATTCTTTTTTCATGTGTGAGTGTAATGTTTAATCTATATACACTAAATTATATTTGACATAGAAATGCATCCTCAAGATTAAAAGAACCAAAAAGAAGAAGGTATCAAATCACACTAATAAACTTCAAACTCTTTTTATAACACGCTCGACTCTCTTTAAAGCTTTTTCTTGAGATGTTGCCTCAATCTTTCTGACGTTGTGGTTTCCGATGTCGCCTTTCAAGAAGAACATCTATATAATTTTTGATTCCACAACAAAATGATTATTGCTACCATGCAATTATAACGTTCACATAACAAATTCAAAATATCCATAATTTTTCACTTCTGTATATCTGTGTAACTTGTCTGTTTTTATTGTCACTGTTGTCACTTAATACGTTCTGCCTGTCACTATTTGTCTTGTGTCAATACTATTTATTTTATATTTGTATATTGTTGGCTTATTTTTTATAAATAAAGAATGAATTTTCACAATTATTGATAGAATAAAGATATTTTGTTTCATGCAGGGTAATCGGCTTAACAAGGTAAACATGTAAAAATGTATTTCATGAAAAACGAATGAGTATTTTTAACATATAACCACACTGTTTTTGCTGTTGGATAATAATTTCATAAATATTCTTCTGAAGTGACATTGTAGTAATAGTATATTTAAACATGTGATCAAACAAGTAATAATATTGTACAAACAAAAATGTCCAATGAATTACACTAATATTTACTACTAAAACTTTCACTATGCATAATTACATCCACAACCACACAAAGAGTACTTATACGTATTATATTAATCAAAATCTTGAAAAACTTCATCCTTTCCTCTGATCTTAGGCGATCTTTCGCAACTGCATGTGTCACAACTTTCTGTCTGTCTTGAACAATTCATTTTACACAATCGTAATATTCAGATATCACATCTTTGTATGCAGCACACCAAATATTGTCTTTTTTATATGCCCGAAAGAATTTCGGGCATATTATGTTATACCCCCTTGCGTCCGTCCGTCTGTCTGTCCGAGCATTTTGGGTTTAGGGGCTATATAACAGTAAATAGAACAAAAGAGAACAATAGGTTCATTCCGTGATCAAAGGGTTTAGGGGCTAGTAGCCCTTAAGAAAACAAAGAAAATAACAAAGAAAATAGCCCCTAAAGCCAAAATGTTGGAACGTCCGTCCGTCCGTCTGTCCGTCCGAGCAAACATTTTGGGTTTAGGGGCTATGTAACAGTAAAAAGAACAAAAGAGAACAATAGGTTCATTCCGTGATTAAAGGGTTTATGGGCTAGTAGCCCTTAAGAAAACAAAGAAAATAACAAAGAAAATAGCCCCTAGACCCAAAATGTTGGAACGTCCGTCCGTCCGTTAGCAATTTGGTTTCCGGAGCATTACTTAAGTTCCGTTTGGCCCACAATTTTCAAACTTCATAGGATGATTGTTCATATTGGGTAGAAGACCCCTATTGATTTTGGAGTCACAAGGTCAAAGGTCAAGGTCACTATCACCTTAAAACTGAAAACAGTTTCCGGAGCATAACTTAAGTTCCGTTTGGCCCACAGTGTTCAAACTTCATTGGATGATTGTTCATATTGGGTAGAAGACCCCTTTTGATTTTGGGGTCACAAAGTCAAAGGTCAAGGTCACTATTACCTCAAAACTGAAAACAGTTCCCACAGCATAACTTAAGTTCCATTTGGCCCACAGTGTTCAAACTTCATAGGATGATTGTTCATATTGGGTAGAAGACCCCTATTGATTTTGGGGTCACAAAGTCAAAGGTTAAGGTCATTATTACTTTAAAACTGAAAACAGTTTCCTGAGCATAACTTAAGTTCCATTTGGCCCACAATATTCAAACTTCATAGGATGATTGTCCATATTGAGTAGAAGACCCCTATTGATTTTGGTGTCACAAGGTTAAAGGTCATGGTCACTATTACCTCAAAACTGAAAACAGTTTCTGGAACATAACTCAAGTTCCATTTAGCCCACAATATTCAAACTTCATAGGATGATTGTCCATATTGGCTAAAAGACCCCTATTGATTTTGGGGTCACAAGGTCAAAGGGCAAGGTCACTATTACTTAAAACTGAAAACAGTTTCCGGAGCATAACTTAAGGTCTATTTGGCCCACAATATTCAAACTTCATTGGATGATTGTCCATATTGGGTAGAATACCCCTATTGATTTTGGGGTCACAAGGTCAAAGGTCAAGGTCACTATTACCTCAAAACTGTAAACAGTTTCCAGAGCATAACTTAAGTTCCATTTGGCCCACAATATTCAAACTTTATAGGAGGATTGCTATTTGAAGGAGGTAATACTTTATTTAATTTATGTAATGTCTTACAAATGCTTCATCCTTACACAAAAAAACCACTTTCGGGCATGTAATGCTCCGCCTAGCGGTGCTCTTGTTAATGTCTTATGAAATGTTGTTTTAATTAAGCAAGCTATTCACTTCTCTCAGAGTTCCTAATAGATGCCTTGATTGACAATAATTTTATAAAACACACAAAGTACGTAATTAATTTATTTTGACCACTTTCATATTTTGTTTAAAAAGAAAGTAAAAAGATAAGTGTTTTAGCAAACTAATCAGATGAAATTTAAAAAGGTTATCAGAAAAATTAGGATGTGACCCACCTACTTCTGATCTTTCTAAACTTGCAGAGGGCTTTGAGTAGAGCTAGAGAACCATTAACAGAGAAACAACGAAGGAAGTCGAAGAAAAGAAAGAATTCAGAAAAGAAAAAAGCAAAGCCACCGCCTATGACTAATGGTCTATCGAAGGACTATATAAGTGACCGTAGCAATGAGAATTTGCTCCAACCGGCAACACCAGACAAAATGATTGAAAAGATAAATGTGGAGTATAAACCTGACACCGGCGGAATAGAAATGATGGACATTCTTATTGATGTAATTATTTACTTAAAACTAAATAAGAAATATTCTATAACCGTATTAACTAGTCTACAACTATAATCTGTTTTACACACTTATATACAATGTGCGTTATCATGATGAGGTATTTTCACTAAAATGATAATATATACGTAAAGGTTTTGTTGCAAATATAAATATAGCTTTATATATGTTGTACTTAATAAAGTATTGGTTTTTATTTTGTAATGAAAAAGTTTTCTTCTTTCACAATATTAACTATAAACGTGTAGGACAAATTTAAGAATTGATAAACTATTTATATTCAATAAATCAGAATGATAATGGCTGATAATATTTTATTAAGGAGGAGGAGGAGGATAGTGCTGAGCAGATGTTTACTGATATGGACGAGAGTGTAGCAGATATGTTGGAATATAAGGATGATGGTTGTATTGAACTGGTACTAAAAGTTCTTGCCAGGATATGTGATGGTCAGCATGTTGGTCTACAGGTTTGTTGAAATCCTGGTGTTTAACATTTTCAAAAAACGTGATATGAATTCATTTATTAATGTATTGTGTTTTACTCATATCTGAAAATTCACATTCTCTTTTTGTCCCACCATATGTTTTTTATAACATTAAAACGAATTTGACTGCCTATACTATATGCCTAGACTTACTTTATTATTAAGGTAATTGACAAAACAAAGTTCAAGAAAATTTGATATTACTCAGTCTGATATTTAAATCCTTATTTGGAAATTATTAAACCTTTGTATAAATAAAGAACCTAGACATTATTATAATAACTTGCACTTATGAAAACATCTTTGAACAATGTGCAACAAATAAGTGGTTTATCTAATCGTTTTATATATGTTTATCAAATGTGTATGTTCATTCATATACACTGCTTTCTGTTTTAAAGAACTATCTTCGGGAACAGCCTGACAATGTCAAATCACTGAACATCATTGGCGAGACTGCACAGTTTTTGAATGTTGTTTACTCCAGTATCAACAAAAGGACAGTCGATCTTGTCATTCAACTATTTAGTACACTCAACGAATTTTGCTCGGTAAGAGTTGACTTTAAAAGATACATTGAATGTGTAGCAATGGTTTATTAAATGAAACGTGGAGTTTTGTCCCGAATTGCCTTTGAAATGTTTGTTGAATCACTTTTATTAAATTTGTACAAATAAAACTATTGGAAATTAGAGATTTAACTTTAGTAACTCTTGGACATTAATTATTAATATAATTAATAAAGCAATAAACAATCACCGAGCCAAATGAGTATGTAATGCAGCATATATTTCAGCTCGGTAAAATAGTAAATTAGATACAATGTAATGATAAATTGCATAGAATATTGTACAGATGATAAGAAATGTATTCGTCTATGCAGGGCAATCAAGAGAACAGAGAAGTGATTTATAACAAGAAAGCCATCGACTACATAAATTTTATTCTCAGGGCTGGTGAGATTGCAGACTGCTCTCCTGAGAAGGTATCCTAACCATCATAATCTAACTTTCTGATTTGTCAGCCATTTCTTACTCGCATTTACATATATTTTCTTTTGTAAAGCTTGAACTTGTTTTGCAATAGAGGTACTAAGTATTCATAAAAGTAGTTCATGTTTTCTGATTTTCTTTTCATGCCGTTGCAACATTGGCAAATATAGAGTGATGTTATCATCGTTTGTTGTGATGAAGTGTTGTGGTTCTTTAGGGGGTAGAGATTATGTCATACCAACACTTGGGGGTCATATGGCGACTTTTACAGCTTTCCTTAAGGAGGAAGACCTAAAGTGACCCTTCATGCATAGGCACAAGTTGTAAACGTTTGTAAGTGAAGAAAATTAAGCAATACAACTTTAGAATTACACCACATCTTTTTACAGGTACTTGATTTGAGAGAGTCTATTTCATCACTGATATTGTCATTGATCGAAGAAAACGGGCCTTCAGCCTCACAAGTTGCTAAGGTAATTTAGCAAATTTGTTTAATACAGTTTAAAGATGATTTGCTAAAGGGTAATGATTATATAGATTCATTTTATTTATTTATTGGAATGCAGTTCATTTTCTATTATTACGAAAAAAGGTAATTATAATTATCAAAAGCACATACCAATCAATAATTTAAGTTTAATGAAATCTTATAAAATTTCTGGAACCTTGTGATCTCTTGAAAAATATGAAAGCAGAAATGAGTACACGAAAGTCACATACTGACTTGAGTCTGATTGTGAGAGATAATGTAAAATGAAACATTTGTAAATGTTTTAAGCAGTATTTAAAGAATTAAACACCACAAGTTTGAGTTAATTATCACGAAGTCATCTATAAATATATTGTAGTCGCACTCATAACATGTATAATTTCAAAATGCTTAGGAGGTAAAAGACACGTTAGATAAGGAAGCTCTGTATCGCTGTATGGCACAATGTTATGAGATGCATCAATCGGAGAAGCCAAAACTTGAGGACATCGTTAAGTCAGAAGCTGGCTATATGCAGTCGGCGAAATCAATCGCTTCACTCGGTGGTAGTTTGATGAAAGGAGTTGTTGTAAGTGTATAGATTAATGTGTTTACTTAAAGAATTCCGTATAACCAGTCAGTAGATAAAAATTGAGTCAGTAGTACTGTAGTAGAAACAAACATGTTAATATATGATTAGATATTATATTTCAAATGTCTGAAAATAAAACTGGATTAAGCGTAGTCCGAGAATTATCAGTTACTCAAAGTGAAAGAAATGCGACAACTTATTTTGTCTATCAAGAACATCAGTTTGACTTGGTCTTTGACAAAAGTAACAGGATATTAACATAAATTTGATCTTGTGGCAAAATGTACTGCATTCAAATTACTGATACACGTATAATTAGAAATACTAAATATAATATTCCAGAAAGGACCACAAAAGAATGTTCTAAAGGAGAACCTCACGGCTGTAGGTTTCAAATTCTACTTGATTCTTGCACGCATGCATGACATAGATCCACAGTTGGTGGAACGTAAGTAAACTATGTTTATCCTATTTACTTTAACACGTTATACATTTTAACTTTCTCTTTTTTTAAGAAATTGTTAACTATATATTTTAATGATAGATCTATCAACAAATATGGAAAAGGAAATAAAGAAAGAAAGAAAAAAAGAACCCACCAAAATGTTTACACGTTAGTTTTTACATTTATTTACAAATTACATATGAATTCTCCTTTGATTTCTCATTATCAACAAGTTTAGCAATTAAGTTAATTATATGTTAAGTGATAGCAGTGTCTATTTCATTTGTTATTAAACATTCCATGTCATGTTATTTTTCTTAACGTTAACCAGAAAATTTGAATTATTTAACGCAACTGCAAATACATTTATAATATTAATATTTTTTGTATAGGTTTGTCGATAACACCAGAACAGACGAAAGCTTATGATTATTATAAGAAAAACAGTACGTCAGTCGAGATTGTGAAAGACGATGTGCTACAGAAAATAAACTTCAGGATCAAAAACAAGGTGTTACAAACAGTCATTATGATTCCTTCTAAATGAAAAAAAAAACGATTAAAAATATGCATTGTAAAGACAGTTTTTTCAAGAACACGTGACTTTTCTTGTCAATTTTATTTGCTCATACACCTACAGTTTCTAGATGAGTTCATCTCATGTGGTTGTACATACTGTCCTCATATTTTTATATATTTTCTTACAAATGTTGCTTTGATCAAATGAGTTTATTGATACTCCTTTTAGAAGATTTTTATGTTCCAACGTATTTTCTTTTAAAAAGTTTAAAAAGTTTAATGTTGTGGTAATTTCTGAACAGATACTTATAAGAGAAGAGGTGAAGGAGAAATTGAAGTGGAATGTTGACAGAACGTCTCCTAGCAACAAGATACGAGATCTAATGGACTGGACCCGGGATATTATGCAAGATATCTCATACCAGAGAAAGATACTGTTTAACCCTATTGCAATCATGTTTACCAAGGGCTGGTATGTACATGGCTATCACTTCAGATTACATTTATCATTATACGTTGAACCGTTTTGTGGGGTTCTTAACAATAACTCTTATAATAAATCCCAACAACAAAGAAGCTTGTTTCAACTAAATGAAATATGTTACATATATTTAGTTCAAATGCAACTGAAGACGTTGTTATATTTTTTATAAACTTGATATTATTATAGATCTGACGCACAAATAATAACAGACGATTAACATAAGACATTTCAGGTCCAATTTGTGGCATTACCTATATAATTTTAATAGAATGTGTGTTTTTGCAGGCTTCTATGGAATCATCTGGTGACGTTTCTCAGTTTTGCAATAAATATACTTATGTTGCTTACATGGAATGCTAAGGCAAGTCTCGAGGATTATGAGCGTATACAGAATGCTGGAAATACAACAAACGATACGTTTAACTTTGCATTGTTGAAAGAGTGAGTTATGTGTTTCTTAGTTGTGTGAGAATTGCATTTTCCATCCAAAGATTTAAGCATGAAAATTCAAGCTTTGTTTCTTTTAAATTCAAGGCTTCGTTTTTGTTTTTTTAATGTTATAAAATGCAAGATAATGTGATATATATGCCACTATTAGAGAAATGGTAAAACTATTCATAAACCAACTCTGTTTATCAAAGCATGTTTCGCTTTATTGAGCATCTGTAAAGAGACGATATGATAAATAAAAAAGACATAATGAGAAGTTGAAACATGAGGGAAACAAACATGTTGAAAAGTAAATATTTTGTTGTTTGTAAATCAATTAGATTATTTCTAATAGAAGTTAAAGCTTTAGATAATCTAAAAACTCTTTCTGTTTCAGTCCACAGCCTTCAATCGGACGCATACCAGAACATGAATATACTATAACCATGTATATTCTAAGTGGTGTACACAATCTTTTCTCGTTGTTTGTAATCATCAGTTACTTTTTATCCAATCATCCACGATTTCCCACGTGTTCAGAATTGGCTGACCCTTTCCGGTAAGAAATTTTGTAACAAACAAACAAACAAACAAACAAAATGTACTTCTTTAAGGCAAAATAATTGCACTCGTCCTGATCAGGGAAGCTTATTTGATGTCTAAACAGATATGATTGTGCAAATCAAGTTAATACAAAGATCTAGGGACAATTTCATGTGGATTGTCATCATTTCATTTTCACATTTTGTTTATTTTGTAGTCTTAAATAACATTATGCTCGTAATCTTAAATTGACATTACATATTTTATGTAATAATTCAAATGCAGTTTCTTAACTTAGTTACTTATCATACATGTGACTTATAGATAATAGCGCCATACACTGAATTTATAAGTCCGGTGCATTTGACGTACTCATCAAAGTTACTTAAAAGAACAAATTGAGCTTCGTAATAGTTAATTTGCCTCCCTCTCATGTGTATTGGAGTTCGAGTCCAACTTCGTCTCAATCATATTTCCTTAAATGAAATCAGTCATGGTTAGTTCCATGAGGCAAACGGGGAAGTGATTTGTACAAATTGCTAAAACAGTGTGACCTTAAATAAATAAATTACTTTCAAACGTATTTTCTGTTTATATCTTAGTTTTTTATTATTGACTAAGCTGGCAAACAAAATATGAGTTTAGTTTTAGAAATTTATTGTAAAAGTAGTTTTGATCCATCATTTTATTATCATTTTTCCTGTTGTAGTCAGTGCTGTAATAAGAACAAAGACAAGGGAGAAACGGTTGGGAAAAGGAGCTCCGAGGACAAGCCATCTAAACTTGATGTCAAATTCTTTAGTTTCACAACATTTTACTATATTGTAAATATATACATGTATATATATGCATTATCTTTGTTATGACTTTTTAACATTACCTAGATTTGTAATGACACTTGTTTGTGCTCTAATGAAACACGAATCGAATAGCGCCACATTAAACTTCTTTAAGATACTTTAAGAAATTTACTCACGAAAAATTAGTCTTTAGACAGTTTCCATTATTGTAAAATATGGCAATCCATTTTATTGATTGGTGATGAAAGTTTAATTGCAAGGAATAGTGAAAATCGAATACATAATGAATTACTTTGAATTTCCGTGTCAATCCGTATAAAATGGTACGTATGTTAAGTGCCTGCGTTATGTTACTTAATGCTTTATACCATCCGTTAATTTTCCGTAACTGACATTTTAATTCATTTTTCTTTTCAGCTTCTTCTTGCCATGTCTGCTGCAGGGACACAATTTCATGGCTATTTCTTTGCATTCCATCTCCTTAACATTGTAAATAATAATCAACTGCTAAGCGGTGTCATAAAGGCAGTCACACAAAATGGTAATACATTTGGTTTTATAATATAAATGATTTGTATTTACAGTCTTATCAGAACGTTATAGTATATCTGTATTGCCGTTAGGTTCTTTGCTTACTAGTGTTTAAAAACTTGTATGTGATATATTTAGAAATTAATAATTAATGATATTTTTTCTCTTTTGATTAATATTTTACTTTTCGAGTGTAATTCCCCGATATTAATTATTGTTTCGACGTGACACCTTTACAGAAAATATATTTTTAAATGTATGTATATTGTAGAAAAAATACTACTATTAAGCCAGTTAACAAATTAACCATTTTTGTATTTTTTGTAACCTTACTATTCAAATCTAAAATTATATATCTTTTTTGTCGTCAGGTGTGTCACTGCTATGGGTAGCTATTCTAGGCTTCATCGTTATTTATATATACTCTCTCGTTGGGTTCTCCTTGCTACGAGCCTACTTTGCACCGGGTGATTATCTGTATTGTTCAACACTTTGGCAGTGTACGGTAACAGTCATTAGATATGGTCTCATTGGTGACATGTTTGAGGTAAGAGTTTAGAGCAAGAAATATATATATATGAGCCGCGTCACGACAAAACCAACGTAATGCGTTTGCGACCAGCATGGATGCAGAACAGCCTGCGCATCCGCGCAGTCTGATCAGGATCCATGCTGTTCGCTATCAGTTTCTTTACTTGTTTTAGAGTTGGTAAGCGAACAGCATGGATCCTGATCAGACTGCGCGGATGCATTACGTTGGTTTTGTCGTGACGCGGCTCATATATACTTTTAATAGTCATTATATACCTGTTTTGTATTTTTGTGACGCTTGTGTGTGTCTCGTATCGGTAAATTTACTATATTGATTTACTTTGATTTCCAAATGAATATGAACAATAAATTGCAGAAACATTTCGTTGATAGAGGCAATGTTTCAAAGATATAAATAAGGCACAAATTATTCAATTTGTTAAGCTTCAAATCAACTTGTTTATTTTTCTTCTGCATTAGTAAATGCTAATATACAATATAAAATATTTCTTAATTATCAGGTTCATTTTTAACAAGTAATGTTTAGAGGTTAGTAAATTCATGTTCTATTCAATACATGAAAGTGTCGAGTATTGTATTAGATTTACAGATAAATGTCATTCAGTAATCTATTGTTGTTTTACATTACAGCAAGTGAAACAAGGAGAATCGGAGCGAACATTTGCAACATTCTGGCCTATAGTGTTATATCATGTGTCTTTCTTCATATTCATCACTACCATTGGCTTGAACATCATCTTTGGTATTATAGTAGATACCTTCTCCGAACTCAGAGACTTGAAGGTAATTTTGTCTAATCCGAATCTTACTTTTGAAATGTTGGGCAGTGTATCGCAGCTAAAGTCTGGACCTGTCGAATTTTTGTAATTAATTAGCCTGCTTTGAATTTGTAACTAGGGTGACTTCATAACCAAAATACAAATATTGAGTTACAAGTAAAGAGCCTGGTAACTCTGTATGAATTTACAGACTGGACTAGCTCTATAATAATGACGAAGACGTATTCCTTTCAGTTACAACAGGTTTAGGGTTTAAGTGTACGCACTATATTCTAACTTTAAATATTGTAGACACTGATCGTGATGTGCCCCTGGCGTATGGAGCACACTTAAATACAAACTTATTGGCAAAGTCTTTTAAGTCTGTTTTACATTCTTCACATAATGCTTTCCTGTCTTAAATTGAAGTGTAGTTTTAATCAGACATAAGTAAAGGTCTTATTTGAAATGTAGAAACGACTTTGTTTTGTTGTTGTTGTTTTAAAAGGATACAAACTATAATAATGTTGAATATTTTTATTTTCTATTCTAGTGGCGAGCTGAGTCAGATATGAAAGACACGTGCTTTATTTGTAGCAGAAACAGCTATGACTTTGAACATCACGGAAAGGTAATTTAATTGCAATATTAATGTTCATATAATTACTTGCACATAGTGACGACAATGCTTTAAGAAACGTTCTAACATTATGAGATTAAATCATTTGTTCAATGTTTCGTTCGAGATTTCTTACACTTGGCATATAGGTTTCTCTGTACATTTTTAAAGAATATTATAGAATACATTGGACATAGCATAACTCCATTTCATGTAAAAACGCTTTTATGTGCCATGTTTTATGTGCCATGTTTTTATTTCCTTGTAGGGATTTGACTTCCATGTGAGAAATGAGCACAACATGTGGTCTTATGTCTTCTTCTTTATACACCTCAATGACATGAAAACCAGCGATTATACTGCAATAGAGCTCTTTGTTAGCAAACTGGTGAGTAGTCTATCCGATCTATTCAGTTTTTGACCCTCTTCTGGCTGACTTTATTTCATGGACTTTACCTGATTTGAATTGGGAACTCTAAGTTGAGTTTTTTGGGGATTTCAGTATCTAAACAATTAAATCGGCCAGGTAATAGAGGCTTGTGCCATAAAGTTTTAATGATAAATTTAAGTTGGTCAATATATTTAAATTAAACATTTTTCTTTCCGTTGAACTCATCTAGATAGGTGAGCTAGAATATTGAGTTATGGGTCGATAGAGTTATCAAACGCTGCATAATTTGATTTTTTGATAGTAATATAAAACACGCAGTTGTTGTCATATTAAGGAAACGAGTTTTATATGTCGAAGTTTGCTAATATTTATTATTATCTCTTATTATTTTTAGCTTGAGCAAGAAAACTATGACTTCTTTCCGATGAATCGTGCCCTTTGTTTGTCGTCAATTGACATTGATTCTACTGAGTCAAAAATAGATGACCTTTTACATCAGGTGACTTCAATTGCACAGAAGCAACGTGAAGATGTAAGTTAAAATTTGATTTCGATATTTTAAAGATATGCATGCGGTTTCTTAAGTATAATGAATGAAGGAATAAATCCTTATTGTTTTAAATATATAAGGGAAAAATGTGTTAGTACTTTCAATATATATATATTATTGGTAGTCTGGACATTTCTATGAGTTATATTGAGGAACCAGTCTTTCTAAACATCTGATTTCTTGTTTATGTTAAACTTACCTGATTAAATATTCACCCTTTTAATGCGCATTTTCCAGGAAGCAGAAAAGAAACGCAAAGTTGAAAAATTGAAACAAAAGCGTTGGCAGGAAAAGCACAGACGATTTATATTTGGAATCCACCATAGCGCTGATGAAAACGAACTGGGTGACCGAGAACCATTAGTGCCACCATCTAATTCTAGTAATGACGGTGTGTTTAACGCACGTCAACCAGAAACTGGTAATATGATGTCTGTTTCTGACGATTCTGAATATTATAAGGAAAAGAGGGGTTCTTTATCATTGTTACAAATTCTAGAAGGCTTACCGGACGATAAATCTTCAAGGGCATCACGTGCCTCTTCAAAATCTCATATAATCTCGGAATCTGACGAAGAATCCGATACAGATTCAGCCGGAAGTACAGGTCCTGTTGAATCTTATGATCTTTTAAAATCGCGAGAGACATCGCGGGATAGAATAGACTCTATACCGGAAGAAGCTGTGGTTGCTGTTCCGATTCCACGTGCTGCAGCAGACGAAGAAGATGAGCTTCCGCCTCCACCACCGGAAGAGACCGAAGAACGCCACCTGGTGCCGCATCATGACAGCGATGAAGAAACTACTCATTTATAGTTTCAAAAATCATTCAGATTAATCGCTCAATGTTGTACGTGCAAAAATTAGATTATAAAAGCAGTGGATTCAAATTTACTTTTATTTCATTCACCAGTTCGAGTCCGGTTGCAATTAGAGAACAGAACTACATGTCCTTGGGCTACCATAACAAATGATTTGACATGTTTAAACGGTCTGGTTACATGTGTGTTTCCTGCAAAATACTTTCTACAATTAATCGAAGACAAGCCTTTACATGGTTTTACTAGTCGTTCTACAAAGTTTTAAGTAAATTAACATAGAACCATTTGAAATGGTGGCTAAAGTTTTATGTTGTGACAGTTATGAACCAAAGTAATGGTGAAAATACTTCTACAATGTAATCGCGAATCGTTGTAATATATATGAGATGTGAATTGATTTGTTGTTGCATATAGTTAATGTTGTTAAGTTTTTATTTGTTTTATCGAATAGTCTTCCAGCTACAGTATACGCACTGGAAATATTTATACAAACCGACCACAATGATTGTTGTTGTAATTTTTAATAAAAATATTTTAACCGCGTTCCTATATACGACTTGCAATATTAGCAATTGGCATTGCATTTTGTCTTTTTTGTTATATTACTTAATATCAATAAGTTTCTTGTGTCATTGCTCTACGCTGCAAGAAACTAGCCCAATATGTACAGGTCATTATATATCATTAAACATAGGCAAGGGACTAACAACCATTCACATACTTAACGTTTATTCTGAATATAATTTGGCTTTTAAATCTTATTTTCTAGACTGCCTCCGTGGTTAGGGTTAGAGTCGATGACTTCTAATCCAGTTACCTCTCTGGCGTGGGTTCGATCCCCGGGAGATGCTTTGGTAGTTTAGCGCGGAGGAAGGTTGACTAGTACTGGTGTAACTCTCCAGGAACGATGGTTAGGAAACTACCCGCCTATATTACTGAAATACTGTTGGGGAAAAGGCGTAAAATGAAACAAAGAAACAAACTTGTTTTCTGAAGTGTGGAAATGCTTAACATGCTCAGATTTTTTTAAAGACATCACTATAAAGATTGCATCAATATGTGTGCACATAATACCATACTGTATATTATTATAAATGTTCAAGGTCATTTCATCAACATGACCAAGCCATCGGATTTTTAATTATTCATCTTTATGCAGTTTGTTCTTTTTTAAGACAAGAACATCTCGGTCATGTTGTAAGACAAAAACATCTCTTCCATGTTTAACAGGATTGTATCCTAAACTTTCAAGATGTTGGCGACATTTCTTTCATGACATTTTGAGGTATATTGTACGCACATAAAACACGTTTGAAGGACAATAAGTTTTGTGTGAATGGAAAACGATGTACAATGTGTAATGTATAAATGTAAATGCGTAAACATCACGCACATTTCATGTCATTCAAGATAATATTTTGAAAATGAACAACATATTTTTGTACTAGGCAAAAACTATACCATTACATTTAAATTCTAAAACTTTCTAAAAGTTTATTTTAAATGAAAGAAAAAAATGCTATGCCCAATCAATATTACAACTATAATAAATGATTTAAGTTCGATTGTGTTCAATTCAATAGATAGTCATTAAAGATTCGTAGTTCTTGATAATATGTAGATATGATATGGTATGATACAGATACAGTTCGGAATACCTAGTCCCAACATGTGAATTTAATTATATCATCTGATATTACAGGTTTAAATAAGTTAAAATGCTAGGCTTAGTATTAAGACAAAAGTCCAGATGTGCGATAATTGGCAAGCCCGTATAGAACGATGTTACGCTTCCATGAACGTTTGATAAAAGAATGTATAACTTAAAACACAGTGAATGTATGAATTACAAAAGTTCGACTTATAATAAAATGAGCTTACTGCAAGTCCCAGACTACCTCTTGCAAAAGAAATTGGGGACGAAATAATGCATGATATTTGTTTGCCTATTTTGATTGACAACTGTTAAGAATGAATTAAAAGGTTGTATATGTTGAAATATGTTTGTTTAACAAATTGTTTTTGTCGACGTCAGTGCTCCTACAGCGCACTATACTTCCCTTTTATGTGTAGATATTAGAACCACTATACCATTAGTTGTAACAAATTTGTACATATGTATGTTATTCTTATAAGTATGTTTTATAAAATACCAAATAATTTAACTGCTGCATTGAAAATAACTGTTGTTTTTGTACTTATATTTTCCGTAAAATATTATACATGCTTGAATAAATTTATCGATCTATTGATAATTATTGTTGTTTTATTTGACTGACAAATATTTTTACAGAGAAACCAAAAATGTCTGTCCATTAGAAAGATCGTTCTTGTCTCCATTGAAAGCTAATAAAAAAAATAACTCAATGTGCATATGGTTATGCAAACAACAGTAGGATGGTAATCGTACGTTTACCAATTTCTTAGTTAATCTTCTGCAAAGAGCAAAGCCCCTGTAAAACTGCTAACCCGTCTTTCAGGCTCGGAATGAATCTCCGCACCGCCGCTGGATAGTCGTTTTGTCCATACAACGTCACCCTTGTTAACATGAATGATGACAGTACTGCTACCTTGATGATCATGGCCCCTTAGTCGGCTTTCAGCAACAGCTGTTGTCTGTGTTGATGCGTTGACAACTAGGTTTATCCAAATATCAAATATTGCCCCGGTTTGTCTAGCAGCACTAGACCATGAAAATATGTAAATACCAGATTTTGGAGCTGTAAACATACCGTTGTATACATTATACGCCGCGCCCTTATTCAGAAGAACTTTGTTGTAGACAATCGCCTGGTCGACACCAAGATTGGTCTTGTGATGGTCCAAATAGGCAGTGAATGCAACCGGAGATTGATTTTGACCAAAAGCGCAGGTTGATTCATCTAAAACAAGAAATATATTTAAATATTTATTTTTTCCTTTTGCACTGTCTTTTTATATTTACCAAAACATTCCAAAAGTTAACATCAAGATCTGGAAACACAATAGTTCATTTTTTCCAATACAATGGGTATCTAACATCTTATCTTGATTATCAACAATGAGGCCTTTTTGAAACAATCGGCCGAATACTACGAAACAACGATACGAGGGATTTAGTTTAAGAGCAAATCGAGGATCAAGTGTGTACTGTTTTAATAAACTATAAACAGTGAACGAACTGGGGAACTTGTTTCATAACGGAACGGGGTATTAAGTGTAAAGCAAAATCGGGGAACAAGGATGTATCAGAAACAAAGCCTTGATATTTTCAAAATAAATAGCATGTGCATCAAATTCAGGTGTTGATGCATTTTAATTTAGTAATCAAAGCATCAAGGTTAAGCATCAAATGTCATGCTATCAGAATAAATTTTATTAATATATTCAGGCTCGAAAGAAGCACATATTTATATAATGTACTTATAATAATGATTTATTTCATTATATAAACATTACATGGTACAAAACGAGTAACAATATCACATGATTATTGCCATGGGTGAAACAACAACAAATAAAAAGAATAATAAAAAACTAATTAAGATAAAACCTTAGTGATAAGAAGACAAACTAAATCACCATAAAATAATAATCATTTTGAAAGACTTTTTATAAAAGATAAATACGTTTATCAAATAAGATACAAGATATTAATAAAATGAAAGATGTACCAGAACATGTACGCATATTATCCAGGATGACACAAAAAGTGGGAGGTGAATTCACTTGTGTCTAGGATGTATAATAATGATATGTCCTATCAATGTATTACACTTTAGTGGCACCTTTAACTGTATTCATAATCGATAATAAATCGAGCCAATAAGGCTTTCTTTTTAGACATGATAAGTGTGTGGTATCTGGTAAACATCACTGCGTTTAAAGATTTAATTACATAAGGAGACAAACACAGCTAGAGCTATCACCGAATTCAATCCTGCACCCAACATCTACGATAGAAGCTAAATTGGATATGTGGAGAGGGGAATAAATTTTTCAGGAAAAAACAAAAGAAAACATATAAAAAGAAATTGTCTTTGGTAAAAAGAATGACAACATTACACAGGTCAGGTCATCATATCGATTTTATTTCATCCCAAAAAAGATTGAAACAGCAAAAATAATTAAGTGAAATTGACCTGTTTGGGTCTCGTATTAAAATAATTATAAATGTCAGAATATTTTCAAAGTAAAAAGGGGACACATTTATTAAAAAGCAACAAAAAAGTTCGGATAAGCTTGCTTAGAATTATAAGTAAATATCTGTTCTGGTTCATGAGACACTAAAGTATTGAATTAAATGCAAATTAAATTTCAGAACACTTTTTAACTAAAAGAGGGAAAACCTTTGTCAACATGTGGTGAAGAGTTAAAGAACTTTGGATTTTGAGTTTGCATGTAATTATTCGTAAACGTTTTAAGTATTTGCTTTCACATGTGAATTAAAGTAATTAGTAAGGTGCATAACTTTGTTAAAATACCTTGACCTGATTATCCTCCTTGTGACCCTGCCTAGATATCTAAAGTTTCAAGATTCTGTTCAAGTTTAAATCTAAGATCATTTTCTTAGTCAAAAAGGGCTATAAATTTGTTGAAAGTGCAATGAAAAGTTGAAAAACTTGACATGATGATTTTTGTGCTTGTGACCGATCAAGTACATTTGAAGTTTTGGTTTAGTTAATGTAAAATACCTTGAATAACATATACAATAATGGCACGCATAAATAAAAATTATTTATCTGTACGACCCGAAAAATAATTGAATTTATTGATTTAAAATGTATGTAATACATTTATAGAATAAAAATCTTAGGTATAAATAATAGTTTGAAAAATACTTGATCATCAGACAACTTTTATGCTAAGTCACCGTATTTCTGTAACCTAATGTTTTATTTTCGCGAACCATGGCATTTTCAATACCGCCTCTACATTACTGTTTAAGGAAAAATCAATTCTAATAACTTGATTTTGAACAAACGGGTAATGTAGATTCTCAAAACCAAACCAGCCTCTATTTTAGATAATGTAAAATTTCTAACATTCTAGTTACGCGTGTCATGATATAATTTTTCATTTCTAACATTTAACATTAAATTGAATTTGTATTTGTTATGAAATTAATTCTCTCAACATTAAATGTAACTTGTGTAATCAGCGTCTTTGATGCGTTACTGTCACGAACGTATTTCTGAATTTTCTGACTTCACTTTTTATATGTTAATGTTTTTATTACAACATATTTTAATTATTATGAAAAAATATATCTTTTAAGGCCGAGTACCTCAGCTTGTTATACGCCGTTATGAGTATACGCCGAGGTCATGTCTTTGGTCCGAAGGGTCGATGTAACTAGGGATTTAGGAGATATCTAAGCGATATCATTTATTTGTAATTAAATTATTATGTTGTTTAAAATTATTATTATGTTTATATAAATGCTTATATTATTGTCATAAAAATAAACTCATGCAAGTGTTTAATGTAAGATATTGCATGAAGTCGAACGTTTACACTGTTTTAAATAGTTCAACATGTATTTACTGTAGGAAAACTAGAACATAGCCAGGTGTTTCTATTGTAATCAAGATGGGTTTTATTTCCTTTGTTAACATTTTTTCTTTGTTTGTTTTTTCTTTTGTTGCATCATAACTTAACTTGAGATATAATCAAGGAAATTATCGCTTTAAAATGATTTGTATGAAGATAACACAAGCACAACAGCTTAAAAGTTTTAGTATGCTAGCATTCACACAACTGAAATTTAGTACCACACGATCATTTAGATCCCTTAAAAATATTTTAAGTGCGTATTATATCAATGTTACAGAATAATGATTATTGTCTTTAACATATTTTTTGTCTCAACTCAACTTTTTTAATATTTAAGTTATCCCATTACATAGTTAAATGTCTAACGCACATAAAAGCATGTTAATATAAAAATACATGACGTTTCTTATATGGCTATTAATTATAAGAATATACATTGTTCTCCTTATGTTTTTAGATGAGACTGCGTATAATAAATGGCATTGTTTGCAGAAATATGCAATTTATTTCTATACTCAACAAAATAAGACAATATAGAATTAACTTTCTATAGTGATATATTTTGTAAGCATACTCTTTTTTTTAAATAGAAAAATGTTGATAACAACAAAAGTTGAGTCCGGTTTGTGACAATCGATATGGAAAATGGTTCGTTGCAAACATTTGATTCATAGGGAGCAAACTATTATTGAATATAAGATGAACGAATGTTTCTTAAAATGGCTTCGCGTTAATATGCAAGAATCAGCAATGTGCTAACTCCTTTCTCTCATAACCTTTGATTGATTGTGTATACACATTATCAAAATAAGTAACATGTATTCGAATTAGGTAACATCCTATAAGCATACTGACAAAATCAATTTGCACATACGCAACTGTTGATCGATCTACTCTCAAATTCTCGATTTTACATTTTATTTTGAAATTTTATTGTTTTGAAATTCTGTTCTTCTTATACGCCCATGCGTATCGGTAAGTATGCCACAAATAAGATAAGCAAGATTTATTTTCTCGTGTAAGTTGGTGCGCTATATTTTGTAAACCATTTTTGGAATTTCTGATCCATTAAGACATTTTGTTTAAAAAAATGAACAGAAAGAACACTTACCTCTTTTTGATCGCTTAAGCCTCTTGTTTGCAATCATTTTCGCTTGAATCTGATCGTTTACGTGAAGTTTATCAAGTTCATTTTTCATAATTTTGTTTTCTTGTAAAAGTCGGGTTGAAGTCTTTCTATAGTTTTCAACTTCACGTTTGATAGCTTTCAGTTCTTGAAGCACGTTTTCGTATTTTTCATCGGCTTTTGCATTAGAATCCTCACTTTCCACTGGTTTTACATTTCCGTTATTTAGAAATGCTACGACAGAAATCCATACTATGATGCTAAACTTCACCATTTTAATTTTTTAATGAATACACAGTGAAAAAAGTAAGAATTTTTAATCTATAACCACTTTTCGTGTTTGTAATTACTTTTTGTCCATTAGGACTACAGTATTTCAAATGAATTGTACTAGGTTTAGTAAGTCGGCTTTAAAAGTCACTTATAAATATAGACTGTTTGTAACAAGATCCGTTTGCGCTTGTTCTATGCACCGGCGAAGGCGTAGCTAAGATGCGTGGTCTGCGTATTTTGTCTTGCATATCAGATAGGATTATAGATCTACTGTTTACACCGGTGCTAGAAAAACTTGCCTTACACCCCATGTAAAGCAAGTCGCCTGTTTTGATGACGTCATTCCCAGGCGACTTTTATGAATGAATTGCGTTCTTAGGAGAACGTCAATGTGCCCTTATGAATGAAGTTGTAAATGCTACTATAAGAAAAATGTGCTAAATGAAAATATTTTCTTTTCGTAATATCATAATTTGTAATATGCAAGAAAAAGAATCAAACACCGGCTATCGGTACAGACAGGAATATCTAGCTCTCGGGTAACTGTCTAACGGAAACTCGGCAGAGCCTCGTTATCGCCGTAAACAGTTACCCTCGAGCTAGATATTCTGGTCTGTACCGGCAGCCGGTGAAAGATTCTTATATTATATTATATTACACACGTATGAAAACATGGATATACATGTATTTTAAGATTAAACAAAAAAATCTTTTCCCCAGAAGACTATCAAATACGAATACATTGGGAATCGTATTTAAGTAATTTCTGGAAAAACATAACACTTAATTATAACACACAGCTGTGAAATTGTAGAATACCAAAAAAATATCGTCTCATATACGTCAAGTATTAGTAGAGAGGCAATAAATGCTTGTAACGTTAAATGCTCATTATTTATCATGTCATTACATTGATTTCTGTTGATAAAAAGCACACGTAATAATAGCTTTATCAGACACCTCATCAATACATATTGAAATAAAGTGAAGAGAATGGAATATTTTACCTCATGTATATTGTATTTAATACCGCATGAATAACAAAATTGATACTAAGTGGCTTATCCAGAACTAGCCTTCAAGTACCTACAGAATTCTATTGTTGTGCTGTTGTTGTTGCTGCTGTTTTCGTTTGTTTGTTGGTATTTTGTTGTTTTTGTTGTTGTTGATTTTTTTTGCTCTTCTCTTTGGTTGAAATTGTTTTTATTTATTTATTTTTTGTTGATGATTTTTTTTTTTTGGGGGGGGGGGTGGTGGTATGTAAATGTTATTATGTTATTTAAATGTTCACTTGTGCTTACCTTGACAAATATGACGATGGCTTCATTTATCTTAAATTTTCTAAACAAAGACTTTATGCTTATTTATAACCTAAAGAAATTCGGTGATTTGTTTTTGGTGACTACAAAAAAAAGAGTCCTGTAAAACGTCCCATGTTTAATGAATACCATTAAATAGTTGAGAAATGTAGTTTTTAGTAATCCTTAAGGCCGTTGTCCGAATTACACTCTCACTTGGCGGCAAGGGTACTGTACATTATCATTATTAAGATTGCTTATAATATGTCCATTGTTATGTTGATGTTTATTGAAGGCCTTGTTAACATTATATGTGTTGTCTCTAATGCTTTGATGTATGGTCTTAATAGGTCTCACCCCGGTACGGAATTAGAAAGTAGCCTAGTTTAAGTTCTCTCTAGTTTGATTGGTCTTAATTAAAGTGTATTTATTGCATGTGTGTGTAGTTTTTTTGTGTTATAGGATGACTTTAAAAGTTGTTTTTTGTGTGTTCTCCAGGAACTCATTTGTTGGCGCAAGGATTAAAAATGTACAACCCACCAGCAGTCAAGAGTTTTCAAAGTGGTGAATTTAAACAGTGTTACAACAGAATGAAGATTTCTGAAAAAAGTAGATGGCTAACATGTTATATTTTGGGCCTCATTTGACTTAGATAGTGTTGATGTTTAAAGTTGAAGACAGTATATAATTCATCAAGAACAGTGGAATTGGGAATTAAACCTCGAATGTGACTGATTTACTATAGAACAAAGAATACGAAAATTCACTAGGCCGACTCCAATTAATAAGTTACAGTCGTTAAATATTACATTCTTATTTCGTCTTCAAATTGATTCTTAATTCATTCTGAGATTGACTCAAAATCTCAATATTTTAAGGCCAATGTTCATTGCAATGGTTTCAGACATTTATTTATTACTTTCAATACGGTTTGAAAATCAAATCATCACTATCTTTTGTTAATTATATCTATAACAAGTACAAATGTTGCTGCAATGCAGCAATTGAGAAGCTCCGCGCAAAAAAATGTGCTCATTACAGATACCTTACCAAATTATTCCTACGCACAGGTCATGTTATATTCAGATTAGGTACTATTGTAGATTTTTTCCGAATGTTTTGTAAACCATTTTTTGCATAATTATACTTATCTTATGCACTGTCCATAATTAAAAAGAGGGGGAAATTTTTAATATAAAAATGCTTTCACTGATGCCTACCTGGTAAGGAAAGTAATTCCATTGAATACAAACAAGACTTGTAAATGTTATGTGACATGACTGTACTGTGTTCTGTTTGTGTCACTAGTCTACTGTAGTCAGTAACAGAAGATGATAGAAATATCAAAGTCTGTTATAATTTTAACAAATATACAAATAGTAACAAAAGGGACTAATATTATAATATAGTAATATTACATGCATATTTTTCATGTCAAATTAAAAAAAATGGTTTCTTTCAATACTGAAAGTAGAACACACTCTGGAATGAAAAAATGGGATGAATTTCAAAAAGACCAAATTCAGGATTTTTTTGTTTGTTATACACGCGTTACATGGTGATATAGTATTTATCAATATAATAGAAGACTGTTACCTGCATTTTAGGTAGGTATGAGGAAATTCACTAATATCATATTCGTGCGAGACAAAGATATGAAAGCTATTTGGCATTGGTAATATATAAAAAAAACTATTGTTAATTAATTTTTAGGGAGATCAATATATATTTTTTTTGTTGAATTGCTTTACAACCATTCATAAAAAACATTACACTTCATGTTCAAACTGCAGATCAAAGTTTCTGTTGTTGTCATGATATCTATCTATAGCCTATGCTTAAGGTGATTCCGCTTTGACAGCCATGTTTGTTTTCACTAAAGTCTGTCCAAAGTGAAAGTAGGCCAAAATTCATATAACAACAAAGCTCTTATTGTAAAATAATGAACCATTTGAAAGTACACTTCCAGGTTTATATTTTAAGGACGATTTTTGTATTTTCTGCAAAAATAGCATTTGTTTGCACTAAAATAGACTTTAAACTGGACTTTGCCATTCATGAAATGTGCATAAAACTTTGCAACAGAATGTTTTTGGTCTTCAGAAGTGTAGCCCATTCAAGGTAAATTTCTTATTGTTATCATTTTTATTTTTGTTTAAAATAGTCTTTAAAACATAGAATTGGAAGTGTACTTGCAAATGGCTCATCATATAACAATGTGAGCTTTGTTGTTATATGTATTTTGGCCTACTTTCACTTTGGACAGACTTTGTTTAAACAAACATGGCTGAGAAAGCAGAAACACCTTATTGAAGGTCCATCCGCTCGTAAGGGTACAACATGCAGACCCCCCGAGCATATCACCAGTCATACCACTAACTTTTTTCTTTTTCACAAAGTGGCATACTGTTCCAATGACGCATGTATGTATGTTAATGCTTAATGAGGGTCCATCCGACCTTCCGGGCACAAAAAGCAGCTTTCGCTGTCGGGTACGGACCCCGGACATGTCACCAGTCATGCCCTTAAAGTGACGCGTGTGTGTGTATTTGCGTTTATTTATACTCGCCACCGGTTGCCCATATGGGCGAGTCCTCCAGAAGAGTATTAGTCATTTTATTTTTTTGGAGGATAGTGCAATTACAGATACAGAAAGATGCCCCAATTCCAGAAGCTTCTCCTGGTTCTTTAACGTGCCAAGTGTTTAAGCACCCATACACGGGACCTCGATTTATAGTCTCATCCGAAAGACTGATTAGTAATTTTAGTTGGCCAGCCCGGGAATCGAACCCACAATGTCGAGATTGACGCAAAAGAAATGTAACATTATATACTAAAGTTTAATTATTTCAAAACAACCAATATATCAACATGTTATTATTAAACATTTAATTTCATAAATATAAATTAAAAATAATTATCAAAAGCAAAATTGTTAAAATCTTTTGCCTGAAATCTTCTTTATATTGACAAATTCAATCATTAATAGTATACTTGATATGCTGTGGGTAAATGTATTTCAAAATGTAACAAATTATAATTTCATGTACTACTTAAAAAGGGAAATACAAATATGGCTATTTATAGACAGCAGAACTGCTTTCCGGTTCTCATTCATTAATATGAGATGCTGCGAATCACCGACGGGGAAACCAATATAGAAATCGAAAGGAGTTCTTGAATGCAGATTTACTTTTAGCTGTTAATCGAAAGGATTTATTGCTCAAATCCGGGCCCATGGACAAAAAAAATAGTAAACACAAAAAGCTCCGCGCCTGTGGGCGCGGAGCAATGACATCGATTTATTAGTCTGACCCAAATAATTTTTAGCGGCGCGGAAAGACGTAATGTACAGGTTTTAGTGTATTCGTTGAGGACATTCGTATTTCTCTCCCTTTACTTGCTCTTCAGCGACCTTGAATTATGGCAGCGCTCAGATCTTCACGTTCAGTTTTCGGAAGTCTCTTGCAAAAGAACTTATGTCCTGCGATTTCTGCAAGGGCAAGGTATATCTTCATTATTTAATACATTACTATTCATTTGAATATAAGCTTACTGTGCTACATAATAACAACGTAATTTATTATGATCAGATGATGACCTGCTGCAAATTTTATTTATGTCAAAAACTGTGACCATGCATGCATGTGTTACATGAAGGAGGTCACGGTATTGAGTTGACATTGACAATTATTTAAATACAGCTATTTAACGACGTTAGGAGTTGCTAACAACTTGTATTGGCATAATCGATTGATTTCTTAGTAACTAATAATTTAAGCAGGCTGGTGAAAATGCCCCATCGGGCTTATGTCATAAAAAATCATACAATTTTCTAGAAAAGAAATAAAGATATTTCTTTTAAACTTTGTTTGTTTATTGAGAATAATATTTGACATAAACAGAAAGAAAAATATTTGGCTACTGTCACTTTTGTGAGATTTATTTCCCTTTTTTCATGTTTTTATAACACATAATTTTTGAAGACCTTAAAGAGTAAATTACATATGCAAAGTGTAAAACAAAATGGGTTAAATAACTTCTTTATACTCTTATTCATTGCGCCAACACCTGTCAGCATTAGTGATGGAAATCGGATGAAATTTGTCCCAATCGATCATCGGTTCAATCGGATGGGACATAATCGATAACTTTTCGATTAAAGTCGCGTTAAAAAGAAATAGGGAAGAAACATTTTACAGTTTTAATCCTATATAGTTAGTTATAATTTTAAGAAATACATGTAGATTTAATTTTCCAATGGATGTCAAATAATAACATTCACATCACATTATATATCTATTGTTTACATCACGTATTGATCCTATTCAACTCCAAATAGTCTCTGAGATAATTTTTTGCGATCGGCGAGGTGTTCCTAAAAGAAAATTAACGTCAGAATTAATTCCCTTTGATACTTTAAACATTTTCGACGACGTCGCGGAACAAATATATGTGAATCGATTATTGTCGCTTTACATAACAGTAACTGATTATCGGCAACTTGCGACAATCGGAACATCACTAGTCAGCATACATAATATTTCATTTGGTTTTCAGAGAATACTTCAAAGTATAATGTTCAGTGTCAAAGAATTGTCAAAATATAAATGGCAGAAACAGAATATTTAATCAAAATATATACAGTCTACTCCACTTATAACAAGATCGGTTTTAATGAGGTACCGCTTATAACGTACATTCTACTTTGTTCCGGCCTTTTTCCTTCTATTTCCCATTCATTTTATATCGTTAATAACGAGATCGGTTTTAGCGAGATATTGGTTACAACGTACATATATCCGCCGCACAATGCATATTTTTCACAAGTTATAATGAGGACTTGCGTAAAGCGCGTCGCCTGCAGTCCAGTGTTGCATCTAGAATTTCAAAATTATGGGGGATTGTCCCCCACTCAACTGAAAAATGTGGGGGATTTGAAAAAAATGTGGGGGACATACATTTACCTTACACTATGACTTATCGAAAAGAATTCATTTATTTTACGTTCAGGCATTTTTGACAGCTATCGTCCGCTCAAAAACGGAAGTAGAAAAAATAAAATATTGACGAATACTACAAAACACGCGCGAGATGACCCAGTCGGCTGCTACACGCGATTTAGTACGTATTTTAGTCATTACCACGAGTGAAAACAAACATGGCTGAAGCTTTCAAGATACGATGAAGATAAACTGAATTAAGTTAAAAAATCGTCAGATGCGCGACTTGGCGCGCGTTGACTTCATTAAAATGCGCGATCTGCATAAAAAATGCGCAAATCGCGCAATCGCGCGGCCTAGATGCAACACTGCAGTCTTACCAAAAAATGGTAGGCAATTAATGGGAGGGATCAATTAGAGAGTTATCGATGGTTACTTTTGCGCTACTGGCTAAATTGTCCTATAGGTGATGAAATGTTATCACGATATGGTTTTGAGTGATTAAAACAAATTTAAAGGCTATTTCATTACTCTTATAAAATACACTGCATTTTAAAGACATTCATCACATGGAAGTTTAAAATGGATGTTGATAATAAAAATCGAAAAGGTTGAAAAAGGACTTTGTTCTAAAGCTGAGCTTGCGAGAAAACATGGACTAGCATCCAGCACTCTAAAAAACAAAGAGTCATCAAATCTAATTTTGAGAAAAATTTGTTTCAGTCTAGTTGGAAGCGATTCCGTTCTTGTGAATACACAAACATTGAAGAAGCTCTTTTTAAGTGGTTTTCGTCAGCCCGTAGCACAGGGGTACCTATCACAGGACCAGTTTTAGCTTATAAGGCTGAATCTTAAGCCGTAAAATTGGGACTTTCTGATTTTAAAGCATCAAATGAATTTATAGAGCGTTTCAAGGAGCGTAGAGGGATTGTGTATAAAAATGTTTGTGGGGAAAGTAATGCTGTTGATGACAATATTGTACAGTCATTGAGAGAGAAATTGCCTAGAATCATCGAACAATATGAACCTTGTAACATTTTTAATGCAGATGAAACTGGCTTATTTTACAAATTGTAACCTGATAAATCATTGCATTTCAAAGGTGAATCATGTAGTGGCGGGAAAATATCAAAAGAAAGAATTACAGTAATGCTTGCCACAAACATGTCTGGAACTGACAAATTAAAACCTTTTTTAATCAGCAAATTCAAAAATCTGTGATGTTTAAAGACTGTTAAAAGCCTTCCAGTCAAGTATGAGCGTGGATGACAAGTATTTGTTTGAAAGTTGGGTACGGAGAATTGACAGGCAGATGCGTTTAGCAAACAGGCACATTTCGCTCTTTGTTGATAAATGTCCAGCACATCCGGATATAAACAGACTGACAAACATTAAGCTAATGTTTTTGCCATCTAACACAACCTCACACCTACAGCCTTGTGACCAGGGTATCATTAAAGCATTTAAAGTTTATTATAGAAAATTACTGGTAGATTCGGCATTGTTCTCTTTTGAAAATGACAGTCAATGAACCCTTGCAGCATGGCAAATGGTTTCAGAAAAATGTATTGTAAACTGTTTTAAAAAGACTGGGTTTGAACATCATAATCAGTCCGTCGGGAATATGTTTGCCGATGATCCAGAGGGAGATATCCCATTGAACCAACTTCGGTTACTTTTCCAAGAAAATTACCCAGATACCTCTTGTCGATGAATACATGAATGTAGACAGTGATGTTACTGTGACCGGACAATAACTGACGATGACATTGTCTAGGAAATTAAGTGTAACTTCTCCCAGATGACTATGAGGATGACGATGAAACAATGGACTTGTGTGACAATTCAGTTGTCAGTGTTTTAAACACAATGGATGCACTAAAAACATGACGTAGGTTCTGTGAGTGCGAGTCTGACATTAAATCAGATACATTCTCAAATCTTGCGAATATAGAACAAGTATTGCAAGATAAAGTGAAGACATAACAAAGACAATCTAAAATAACAACATTTTTTATGTGATACTTGCTAAATTTTACATGTATGGAATTTTTTTTTTTAACCTTTTCCCTTATAAAGACCTGTTTTGACGGCTTTTTGTCCCCCCCCCCCCCCCCCCCCCTTTTATTAACATGTATTCGTAGATATACATGCTATAAATAGAGCAGAATAAAATTACAAGAGTTACCTGCCTTTATAATTTTACTCTTCAAAACGAAGGTGCACAGAACCGAAAGTAGAAAAAATGGCTTAGCGGTGTTGAGTTCTAAAATTATTCTTGAGGAACAACGCAGAGTCCTGACAATCTCGTTGTATCCGGAGTGCACTGTAGAAAAAGGTATTTGCCCAATAATCTAGAGCAGAATGAAGTTGTTGGTCACATTTCTATTTAGAATTTTACATTACAATATAATTTTTGTAAACTTTAAATATTTTGATTCTAGAAAATGGGAAAAAGGGAAATAATTCTAAGGAAATAAAAGATAACCAAAATATTTTTATTTTGATTTGTATCATATATCAATGCTTAATAAACAAAACAAGTGAGAAAGAAATATAATATGAAATTAGGTGCTACCTATGGCACGGAAAGCTCCTATGTATTATGATTTTAGCATAACATGTTAAGTGTACATGTAAACCAGATCTTTTTTGCAGGTATTTTGTACCATAAACAAAACGAATAAATTGGTGGTGTTCAACCTATCATCAGAACGTAAAGGGGGACCACTGCGCATGCGTCGGCGTTTGGAAAATCCCGTCCGCCATTTTTGTTATTCTCTAATCACAGTTGTTGTTGTAACGTTATTTTTAATGTGCTTACAATGTATTTATCAAAAAGGATAGGTTAAAGTAATTTTTTATATTTATAATCGTTACTTTAATTCTTATCAATGAAATGCAGGTTTATTATCTGATTCTGTACATCATTCTTTCACCGGAAGTGTTACTTATCATGCGTCTGCTAGCAATAGTCTGAATAATGTAGACGCTCATTAAAAGCGCTCTGATATCTATATTTAGCTCAAAATGATTTCAAAATGGCGGCGCCCATTTAACTAAGGATTTTTTCACAGTTCATTAGGTATGGGATATATATTTTTTTGAATTTTTCAGTTAGTTTTAATTAGATTTCATTTGAATTGATACGCGTCATACATGTTATCTAAGAGCGCTACAGCTCTCGCGGGGCCTTTGCGTATTAATTATATTTCTTGAAATATGATATTTTTATGTCTAAGCCCGATCGGGCATTTTCACCAGCCTGTTAAAAGGTCGCGGAAAATATAAGTAAAATCTTAAAAAATGTTAACATTATAGGGCCTAGAGTATTTTAAGATTAAACTCAATCCATTTGTAAATTGAAGGTTTAGGTCAGGTTGTATAAATATTATATTGTCTCTTCTTGGAAAAGCAGCATCATATAAAAAATTGCACTAAAAAGCACAGACACTTGGGACGTGGAGCTCAAAACACATTTAAATTCCAAACAAAATGTATATTTGTCAATCCCAGCACATGTACTTATCATACATATAAAAAAAACTTAATATAAGCTGTTT